TTTTTATATGACTGTGCGACTTTAATCTAAAGTAAATCACTCGACCAGGAGTTCTTATTCTCATCTAATGCTAAGAAATCTTTAATGACTGATATTTTGTCTTTTAAGCGAAGGGAGGAGTATTTTCAATTTAGTTAGGATCAGTAAGCAACAAAAAAAAAAATAGTAATGATCGCATTTTTTGCTCTGATGAAAACCAGTATCCTCTAAGTTTTATGTTGTCTTATCTCATCTAAAACTTTAGAACAGTCCTATGTCAATTAATCGTTTGTGTTTTAAAATCATTCTAAATGTCGGTTAGTTGGGATAGTTAAGGTTCAAATGAAATGGAATCTTCACAATAGTGTAAGGCAAAATGCTGACCCGTTGAACATATTCAGAATGGAGATATATAGAATAGAGACAGTGAGCCTTTTCTACATTTATAAAGCAGAAAATAAAAATAAATCGACATATAAAAATAAATGTCGATAAAAAAAACAAGCAAATACCAAAAATGTCATCTAATCAAAAAAGTACAGATCATTTTTTGTTCCTTAAATATCTTCATCCCCTATACTCCCTTCTATCACATTTAGGTCATTGAATATTGTTTTATTATGAAATATCACTTAGGCAATAGTTTTATGATGTCGGTCCATATTTTTCCGTTTGGTTATACACCAATGCAACGAATATAAAATTGAGACTAAAGTTAAGTCATCAAATTCTAAAAAGGAGAAAATATCATTGATTGTCTAAACCTGCAAAGGAACTATTGCACATATGGGATCACCACCCATTTACTCCCCCTTGTTTACGTTCATGAAGCGAATATAAAATATTGTATATTTGTAAGTTCAGCTTTCAAATTCCAACAATGATAGGATTGGCGTAATCAACAAAGGAATGGACTAGCACATATGTGTAGCTCTTTTGAAAAACTGTCTCAAACTGAATGGAATGATTGGAAGTTAGAAAGTTTTTTTTCGTAGACTATATATTTTTCCAGTGACGATAACGGGAAATGATTTTTAAAAAGAAAATAAAAGGCCAAAATAAGCCAGCACAAAATTTTTTAGAAAAATTCAATTCTTTGATTTAAGAAGGAATATTTTGTGAATGACTGAATTTTGTCACACCATAATTTTTGAACTACTGCAGATAGAGTAACTTTGTGAGATTTTGAACTATTGCAGATAGGAAAATGCGATCCTTATGCTTCTCTCTTAACTGCTTCCCTTCCATTCAATCAAGCAATCACTTTTCAAGCAATCCTATCAGAATAAAAATAAGATTTAAGAAGGAAAATTTTCTGAATAACTGAATTTTGCTACACCATAACTTTTGAACTATTGCAGATAGAGAAATGCGATCCTTATGGCTCTCTCCCCCTCAGTTGTTTCTCTTCCATTCAATCAAGCTATCACTTTTCAAGCAATCCTATCAGAATAAGAATAAGATTTAAGAAGGAAAATTTTCCGAATGACTGAATTTTGCTACACCATAACTTTTGAACTATTGCAGATAGGGAAATGCGATTCTTATGGCTCTCTCCCCCTCAATTGTTTCTCTTCCATTCAATCAAGCTATCACTTTTCAAGCAATCCTATCAGAATAAGAATAAGATTTTAGAAGGAAAATTTTGCGAATGACTGAATTTTGCTACACCATAATTTTTGAAGTATTGCAGATATAGTAACTTTGTGACACATAGATGTTGAACTATTGCAGATAGGGAAATGCGATCCTTATGGGTCTTTCTCTCTCAGTTATTTCTCTTCCATTCAATCAAGTAAACCCTCTTCCTATCAGAATAAGTGTTCCTACTAAGGCACAATGTCCTTTTCCTGCTGGGTTTTGGAAAATGTGTGCTTTGTTGTAGTTGTGTGCGTATATTTCCACAATGCGTACACTTGCCATTACACACTAACAGCCATTTATACAAGTCAAATCCGTTGGCGCCAAGCGTCTTCAATGGCGGAAAACAAAAAAGGAGCAAAAAGTGCCAAAGGTATCACGCAAACGATAATTTATATCCTTAAAGTTTGCGTGAAACTTTTTACCAGTTTCGTACGTTTGCAATTTTTAATTCTTGAGCTGTAATTTTTTCCATCTCAAAATTTTTCTTTATTTTTTCCAAGTTCATTTTATATATGAAGATATTTTTTTATCTTTTTCCATAATTTTTTTTTGTTTTGTTAAATTTATAAAATTTTTAAAAGAATCTGCAAATTGTAAAAATTCAAAGCCTTTTTGGCTCATTTGTGAATTGTTAGAAAGAATCCTTTGACATAGCTTGGAACATAAAGCAAAGGACGACGCGTTGGCGGCAAAAACTTTGCAACCAAGACGCAGCAAATTTTTCGAATGTTACCGCTGCTGCCGATTGATGTCGACAATTTGCTGCTGCTATGGATGCTTGACCATTTTCTTTTCGCATATTTAAAAGATACTTCTGAAGAGAAGTAGAGATCGAGAACATAGCGGAGTGATAGATCTGCGAAGCGACTGACTATTAACTCCTTGCTGATTTAAGTGAATCAATAGAAAAACTATTTAACTTACTGAAATTTTTCTTACAATTTTTGCTATTTGAAGTTGTGTCGTTTTGTTGTTGTTTTTGCCTAACAAAACCTTCACATCCATGGCGTAACTCGGAAGAAGGATGCATAATGTAACTTTATGGAAAACTTTTTTAACAAACTTCTTTAGCTTCACATTTCTGTGTTTTAAATATGCTTCAGTAAGCAAATGCTCCGTTTAAGTTTATGCTCAACTTAGTACAAATGCATTTCGCTGCAGATACAAGCTACAGTATCTCGTAAATTTCAGTAGTAAACTTTTGCATTAGATGTTTTATTTCTACTTTTTATTGAGATGCAAATGTGCCAAAGTGTCACAATAAATTGCTAAATTATTTTAAATAATTTCAGTGCAACCCTTCACATTTTTCTTCATGTGTGTAATTTATTTTTGAATTTATGAAGTTGTTGCAGATATAAAAATCATTTGGTTTTTAGTTTATTTTAAAGAAAAGAATATATAAAAAAATATTTTTTTTAACTTTGCTTTTTTTTTATTTAATTTGTTTAAGTCTTCTCCTGCTTTGAAGACTTCATAGTTGTTACATGCTTCAGTGGGTTTCATTGGAACCAAGAACCAAGTTTTCTAAAGCAATCACTCACGCAATTACATTTTAGTTCCTCGCCGCTTATGTTATATCCTATAAATAAGATATATCCTTTTTATGAAGTGTCATAAAAGCGGTTCTTTTTAGTTTTATAGTTCGAATTTTATGTGTTATTTTTATCTACAAAACTTAAACTGCTTTAATCAATTTGCATATCATAAAAACTGAATAGACAAGTGCAACTGTTAACTGAAAGCAACCTCATCTATGATATGTAAATTCAATACTAAGTCGTAAAAAACTAAGCAATCCTTGAAAAGCTAGAAATTAAAGGAGCAAAAATTTTTGTAGAAAACAATTAAATAAAATTTTTTCTTTTAAATATAATTACTACTAAATTGTTTCTTAAGTAAAAATTTTGCCTTCAACTTTAAGCATTTCTATTGCGATTTGGGTCTTAGAAAAACTGGACCAAGGGGCAAATATCACAAAAAACGAGCTAAATACTATCAAAAATCAATTGAAGATATCAAAGACCTGAGATCAATTGAACTTCAAATCAAACCCACTCTTAGATTCACTAAGCGAAGTATGATATAACTAACTACTAACTACATTAGACAAGGCCGTAAGTTCTTACCTTATAGTAACTATAAAATTGTCATATGCATGAATATATTATAAATATCTAAATGAAAAATTATTAGCTATAAATATTTGACACTTAATAATTAAGTGACTAGAAGGTATAAATAATGATTTATAATATTTAGTAATAAATAATGTTAGTTCCTATAACTAATGAAATAAATAGGATGTTAAAATATCCGACCTATGAAAGAAATTCAACAAATCAATATTATCTAGTATATAGCAAAGAAATAACACAAATTAAAAAATATATATATATAACTATATATATAATATATATGTATATGTAAGATAGATTTATTGGTATAAGGAAAATATAATTTATAATTAAAAATAATAAACTAAATATAATTAAATGTAATAAAATTTATAAACTCAAGGGACCGACTGCCACCGCACTCTTTCTACCACTGTTAACTTACGACTTCTTCTTTACGACTGCCACTTTTCGACTGCTACTTTACGACTTCTGAATTCCACTGCCAAACATTAACTCTCTACTTTACCTCGTTCTATACTTCTATAACTTCTATAACTGGCGTTGCCACCTTTACATATATATATATATATAACATTTTTTTAGTAAAAATTTATAAATTTTTTCACTCAGCTCTGTTGTATTTTATTGTCTAATTTTCTCCAGTTTAATCTATGTTCTTTCCTATTTTTTTCAATACAAACTACTGTCAGTTTTTAGTAGAACTTCTTGACCTTCAGTGCAAACAATTATTTATAGTATTCCACATAACCTGAGTTATCAACCTTCGTAATAATAATTCGTAATTAATATATCATACAAAGAATTTTCATATAAATCACCTCATTATAAATAAATCAACTGATTTAAGGCGAAAAATGTCAAATGCAACTCTTAAAAATAAATTTTCCATAAGGGAAATAACCAAAATTTAATATATTTATCATATGTTTTATATGAAAAATGTAAACAAGCAATTTTATATACATAAATCAATTTATGCCAATAGGAACGACCAATTTGATTAATATTAATTGATTAAGCTGCAGTGGGAACATGATATAAGTGTTGCTTTATCTACTG